ACCAGCAGGTAGTGTGGTGGTTAAGGTGCTGGACACTCCCACATGGCTGACCATGGTTCAAGTCCCAGACCTGGCAGCTTGCTTTCTCTTTCTCTCTCTGGTCAAATCAAAATAAATTAATGAATAAATAAAATAAAATAAATAATTATAAAAAAATTTTAAAAAGAATTGTTTAAAAAACAAAACAAAAACCAAAAAAGAAAAGAAAAAAGAAAAGAGCCAAAAAAGAGGGAAAAAAAGATGAAAAAAGACAAAAGAAAACAAAAAATAAAAAAATAAAAAACAGAAAAGAGATAAAAAATATAAAAATAAAAAAGAAAAAAATTAAAAAAGAAAGAACTATTAGATTGCTCCTGCCACTCCCCACTTCTACCAGCTGAAGTACCTTCCTTTACAGAGAAGACCCAAGGCTAAGGTGTAAACTTCTAGCACATCCCCATGCTGGTTAGAATGGTCTCCCTGCCTGTGTTCTCAGTGTGATAAGAACTAACCTTAGAACATAATTTCAGTTCTGAACATGTCTGTGTTCTCTTTGCTCTCAAATATCCAAGCAGATCATACCCACTAGGAAATCAACTTCATTTCACTTTGGCGTTGAGTCTACCTGGACCTTCTCTGGTGAATTTAATTTGGTTAACCAGAAAACCCTGGAATCCACAAGTTACTCCAGCCAGCAAAGCTTCTTTTAAGGAGGAGTAGACTTGGGAACCTAAGGAGCCAAGCTGATTGGGTCTTGGAATTTTGTAAAGGTTATTTTTTTTAAAAGAATTATTTTATTTAACTTTATTTATTTGTTTACTTGCTTATTTATTTTAATATTTGACCAGAGAAGGGTGCAGAGAGAGAGAGAGAAATTGAGAAAGCAAGCCACCAGGTCTGGGATGCAAACTGTAGTAGGCCATGTGGGAATCCAACACCTTAAACCACCACACCACCTGCCAGCCCTAGTTTTTTTTGTGTTTTTTTTTTGTTTGTTTGTTTTTGGATTTGCCTTAGGATACATGTGCTTGCCAGAGAGAGACAGATAGTGAGAGGGAAAGTAAGAAATTCCTTCTCCGTTCTTTGCCTGGGATTTTGGACATGCATCCACATGTGCCTGGTGTGATTTTCAAGCTGCCAGGTCTGGAACTAGAACTGCAGTCGGTCATGTGGGAGTCCAGCAGCCTTAGCTACCATGTCACCTGCTGGCCCCTGTAAAGTTTTGCTGTACCTGTTATATTAGTAAGGAATGAACTGCAGAGCATAGTGAATTTGGACAACAAAAGCGAAGTATTCACCGCAATTGATAGTATAAAGGGACTTCAAACAGTTCATGGAAAATGGAATTAAAGTATATCTATTTTGGTACAAAAAGTTTGTGAAATTCATGTCTAGTTTTCACATAATATGTAGTTTTTGAAGTCTTCCTCCAAATAATTTGAAGCACTTTTTTGTTCTTTTTTTTTTTTTTTTTTGTCATGGGGTGCTTGCGCTTGCCAGAAAGACACAGAAAGTGATAAATCACACTTGGGGGGATGGTCACATCCCAAAATGCCTTCTCCTTCATTCTCCTCTTGGGATTTTGGGCACCTATGTACACACACGTGGCATGTTTTTCAAGCTATTGGGTCTGGGACTCAAATAGCACAGTTGGCCATGTGGGATCCAGAGCCTTCACCACCATGCGACCTGCTAGCCTGACTTTAGCTGTTATAGAAAGAACACATTTCCCCATTTCCTAGACAGTTTTGTGGTGTTTTATCGAAATGATTCAGAATTTACTTCTTCTTTTAGACCTCAAATTCACTTCTTCCTTTAGACCTGAATTAAGAGGATAAGAAATGAGGTGAAAAGGTTCGTATTGGAATGAGAGAAACATGGAAAGTGAAGAAGTCTCAAGTTTTTCAGAAGCAGGGCTTCCAGGTCAGATACAGGCCGAGCTCAGATTTGGGGTTAAAAGACAAATCCCAGTCTACACACAAAGATCTTCTCTAAAGGTCTTGGTTTCTATGGAGGACATCTTAAAATGGGAGAAAAATGTTGGGAGCAACTATTGGCGCTCCCTGCCAAAAAAAAAAAAAAAAAAAAAAGAAAGGTGAAACAAAGAAATACATGCTTGCTGGGCTGGCAGGTGATGTGATGGTTAAGGTGCTGGACTCCCACATGACTCACTGTGGTTTGAGTTCCAGACCTGGTGACTTGCTTTCTCACTTTCCCAATCTCTCTCTCTCTAACACACTCTGTCCCTCTCTGGTCAAATTAGAATAAATAAATAAAGTTAAATAAAAACAGTTCTTAAAAAAAAAAATATGCTTGCTCCCACCTCAATAATCCCTTTCCCTTCCATCTCTCTGCACCCCTTCCCCCAACATCTCAATCCTCCTTTCTTTGATCTGTTCTCATCCCTTTGGCAAGGGAATAGTCTTTCATCCTTCCCCACTGTATTTTGTTTTGAGTTTTTCTTTTTCTTTTTTTGGAGAGGTGTTTGCTATAGGGTGCGTGTGCTCGCCAGCCAGACAGAGACAGAGAGATAGAAAGCGAGAAATCACCCCCCAGAGGGGATGGCCATGCCGCAATCCCTTCTCCTCCATTCTCCTCTTGGGATCTTGGGCATGCAGACACACACGCCCGGCGTCAGTTTAAGCCACTGGGTCCGGGACTCGAACCGTGGTCAACTATGTGGGAGTCCAGCGACATAGCCATTACCCTAACTGCTGGTCCCTCCCCACTGTATTTTGTTTGAAGCAGTTACCAGCTGAATTCCCTCTCCTAGCTTGTCAGGCCTGAAGCAGAGTACACTTGAGGAAGGAAAGGGGACAGGAGTTGTGTACAAAGCTTCTAGCTCTTCCAGAGTTGGGGGCTAAGTAAGGCTCACAGTAGTTGAAGAGAAAGGCACTGTGAGTTTGGTGGTACAGAATAGAGTGCAGGAGGGCTGGCTCCATGGCTTGGTGGTTAAGGCATCCCAGATGGCTGACCCCACAGGTCGAGTCCTGGACTGGACACATGCACATGTGCATGCGTGTGTGAGTGTGTGCATGCCCAAAATTCTGAAAGGAGGCAGAAATGGAGGAGTAAGGGACTGCAGCACGACTGTTCCATGGGCAGTGCTTTCTCCTCTCCTTCTCTGTCTCTCTGGTGAGGACAGGCGCCCTCCAGCACATGTGCCCTCTAGCACATCCACACACTCCACAGAAAGCAGAGGGCAAGCAAAATGAGAAACAGGGATTGAGGGAGACAACTTTGAGGTCCCTTGCAGAGAGATGAGTACTTCGCTTTTTTTTTGGGTGGAAAAACCTCAATGTTTTGAGGGTCTTCCCTGGGCCTGTCCCACCTGTTTCCCCTTCCTCTCCTGAGCTCCATTGTTTACAGAGATCCCTCCCTGAACTCTTGCCCTCCTGGACTTGCCCTAGCTCTGGCCCCAGGCCTCCAGCCGGGCAGACACCCTGACAGGTTACAAATGAGTGTGGGTGTTGGATTGCGCCAAGCCCTTGTCCTCTGAGTCCGGAGGAGGAGGAGAATCAATGGGCTCTACCTAAAAGCTTCTCTTGTAGCCTCATCCGGGGCCTGAGACTGAGGAAAGCACTTCCTGTTTTCTTACACCCCCCACCCCCCAGCCCTAACTCAAAAGAAACCCAGAACAGAAAGGACCGGGACTCTGTTCTGGAGCCTTAGAATTCAGAGCCTGGAGCCTCCACACCGGATTCTTCCATTCTCTTAGCAAATTCTCTTTATTAATTCTAAAAAAAAAGAATCACTGAGAATTTGCATAATCTTTAAGACTTAACTGGCACTGAATTCAGGGATTCCAGACTTGGGATTTTTTTTTTTTTCTTTCTCTAAAGGAGATAAAGGGTGGTAAAGGAGAGAGGGGTAGGAGGGAACCAGAAGAATGCAGGGTCTCCCCTAGTTTTAAACACATTGGAAAGAGAATAAAATTCCGCTGCTCTTCACCCTCCTGTAAACATCACCTCGCTCGGCTCATTGCGGCTCTCTGGAGAGATATAGGGAGTTATTTAAGTCTGAGTGAGTGAGCCAGCTACAGCTATGGATGGCTAGAGAAAGGATAAATCCATCTAGAGAGATGAGTTGATGGATAGGTAGGGAACGAATATAAATATGGAAAGAGATGGACGAACAGAGAGATGGATTGAGACAGAGAGAGTATAAAGAGAGGCTGAGGGAGAGAAATGGATGTGTGAATGAGCAGAGAGCATTTATGCAGAGAGATGGAGAGAAGAATGGGGCGTTTCTCATCCTCCTCTGTGCATTTCTGTAGTCCTGCTCCCTGAAATGCCATGTCCCCATGCCTGGCCTAATGAATTCTTCCTCTAGACTAGATCCTGCCTCACACCCTTAGGTGTTTTTGCACCCCCACCCCACCTTTACAGCCGTCCGTTTGGCTTGAGATAACATACCTCACCTGGCTGTCCTGGCCCATCACCCCAAGACAAATTGGGGCAAAGAAACACAGGACGGGCATTCTGGGCAAAGTAGGAAGCACGGATTCCCCACCTCTAGGTCTTGGGGGAAGGCCGTTTGAGGGGTGGGAAGAGTGAGGGGCAGCTGGGTTGAATTTGTCCAAATCTAATAACCCAGGAGACTATTGAGGGCCTTGGGGGTTGGGAGGGGAGGAAAGTCTTGAATATTCTTCTAACTTTTCCCCCCTCTCCCTCTGGTCCCTTCTTTCCCAAAGTCTTTGAAGAAAGATGTTTTTGACGCTTCCACGTCGCTTTCAGATGGATGGGCTGCCGGTGATTGAAGTGTCTTTGTCATGCTAATGCTTGGGGGGTGATGGATGGGCGCTGGGGCTGCCAAACTCTGGCCCGCTTAGCCCATTGGCCTGGGAGAGATCACATGTGCCCCCCACCCCCACTCTCTACCCCCTTCCTAGGGGAGCGCTGGCCCAGGAGAACTGGGCCGGGCCATGGATGCAAGCCTCAGCGCTGTGACATACTGCGGAAAGGTTGTAGGGCAAGAGGGTGTCTCCCCCAGCCGGGCCGACCCTCCTGCGGCCTCAACGCATGGACTATAATAGGATGAACTCCTTCTTAGAGTACCCACTCTGTAACCGGGGACCCAGCGCCTACAGCGCCCATAGCGCCCCAACCTCATTTCCCCCCAGCTCGACTCCAGCAACTGACAGCTACGCGGGCGAGGGCCGCTATGGTGGGGGGCTGTCCAGCTCCGGGCTGCAACAGAACTCGGGCTATCCCGCTCAGCAGCCGCCTTCGGCCTTGGGGGTGCCCTTCCCCACCGCGACATCCTCAGGGTATGCCCCGGCCGCCTGCAGTCCCAGTTATGGGCCTTCTCAGTACTACCCTCTGGGTCAGTCGGAAGGAGACGGAGGCTATTTTCATCCTTCGAGCTACGGGGCCCAGCTAGGGGGCTTGTCCGAAGGCTACGGAGGGGGCCCCGGGCCGTACCCCACGCCGCAGCCACCTTATGGGAACGAGCAGGCGGCGAGCTTTGCACCGGCCTTCGCTGAGCTTCTCTCTGAGGACAAGGACTCCTCCTGCTCATCAGAACCCAGCACCCCCACAGCCCGGACCTTCGACTGGATGAAGGTTAAGAGGAACCCGCCCAAGACAGGTAGGGCTCAGGCGTGGCCACCCGCTCTCCGCTCTCCGCAGCCGAAGCTGCTCAGCTGCTTGTACTAAGGTGGCGGGGCCTGGGCTGGCGGAGTCAGATAAGAGCCCTCCGCCCTTCTCAGGTCAGGTGAGGTCCCCCACCCAGTAAGTGCCGGGTCATCCCCAAGAGTGAGTCTTCATGCATTCCCTACTTGCTGATTTGCGCACCTGGTGCGCGTTGGGGTGGGGAGTGCAAGTATGGGGGCCCCGAATTTGCCGACCACCCGATCACCGTGGGGGAAGGGCGCCTGGTGATTCCTGGGAACTTTGAGAATTGAGGTTGGACAGAATTGTGCATGCGGGTGCCGAGCTGGCCTGGGAGGAGGGGAAGGAGGGGAGGGGAAGGAGAAAGAGGTGAGAGAACTGACGTGGCTTTCTCCCTGCCCCGCCCCTAGCCAAGGTGTCGGAGCTGGGCCTGGGCGCGCCCGGCGGCCTCCGCACCAACTTCACCACGCGGCAGCTGACCGAGCTGGAGAAGGAGTTCCATTTCAACAAGTACCTCAGTAGAGCCCGCAGGGTGGAGATCGCCGCCACCCTAGAGCTCAATGAAACCCAGGTCAAGATTTGGTTCCAGAACCGGCGCATGAAGCAGAAGAAGCGAGAGCGGGAGGGAGGCCGGGTGCCCCCAGCCCCACCTGGCTGTCCCAAGGAGGCAGCTGGAGACACCTCGGACCAGTCGACTTGCACCTCCCCAGAAGCTTCGCCAAGCTCGGTCACCTCCTGAACTGAACCTCCCGACTGATGGGACTTCCCAGCACTGGGCTTCCCCAGCCCAGCCCTCCGCTGGGCCCTCCCCAACTCTGGGTCTGGTTTGGCGGCCTTGTTGGTGCTCTCGGGGAAGGGAGGGTTGGAGAATGAAGCATTTTTCTCAGATCTGGGCAGAGAACTGATGGCTGGGGACCCTACAGAACCAGAGGCCTGGGAGACACCAGCTTCAGTCTTATGGGAGGAAAGGGCTTCTGCCTTTGACCTGGGATTAGCTCTCCAGCTACATGCTGGTGGGGGTGGGCCAGTCTCCTGGAATCGCCTTTCCTTCCACTTGGGTTTACTGAGCTCAGTGCCTTTGAGTTTTGAGGACTCACCTCTCCTGCTCTATTCTAACCCCCCCCCACCCCTTTAGGCCTGGGACAGACAGAAGGCCTTGAGATTTCTCCTGTGGGAGGTGTCTGGGTGCCCGAATATTATTACCAATCCTTAATTCTTAATCCAGTCACCACAGACCTTACAATAGCACCAGCTGCCTTGTGACAGACCCAAAGCCCCCCATCTCACCCTATTAGCCCTCTCCTGGCACATTTGTATTGCACTAATGCAGCCTCCAGAGGTTGTTTTCTGAGACCTGCCTCCTCCCACCAGTGACCTCATCAGTAAATCACCAAAGTGTTTTGAAACTGGGTACTCCAGAGCCTTCTGGAACCCTGTGCAAGGCCCGCCCCCAGCAAGCCTCAACCAGGAAGGTACAGGCGAGCCCCACTAGCCCCTCCCCTATTTATTGCCTCCTGGAGAACCCAGGACCCTGTTTCCCATCTCCACCCCTACCCCTGGGGGCAGCCCAGGGTGGCCCAGGTACAGTGAGGGCTCCCCGCCCCCAAGAGCATCCATTTCTCTGACCTTTGGAGACTGTGGACTCTCTACGGGTTTCCGGAAACCTGAGCCCTGAGCAAGACAGGTTCCCTCTGTACCTCCTACTACCTCATTTCAATAAAGTCGGTGCTTCCCTCTCTTCCGGCCTGCGGCCTGCGTTTGCTCCTCCATCTCGGGGTACAGGAGGTCTGGGCAAGAGCTGAGGAAACAGTTGGCACTGTCTGGGGTGAGGGTGGGGGGCTGAAGAGAGCTGAGCTTTGAGGTCTCAGCTGGATAAAGAGCAGGACGCACTGGGTGTGGGCCTAGGCAGACCTGGGCCACAGGCACCCAGACCTGACGTGCTCCGTTCCATTGGCCATTGGGAGAGCCCAGAAAGACGGGGGAAGTCTGTGAGGTCAGGCAGTTTCCAGAGGTCTTTCGAGGAAGACAAGAAAGGAGAGAAACAGGTCTATGTGGAGAGAAAACAGGGTGTACAAAGAGGAGGAGGCGTTGGGGAGGTGAAGGGAACTCCACTCCTCTCCTTCCTCCTCTACTCGCACCCTCCCTCCCGTGTCCAGTCCAAGCAAGGTCTGCCAGAGTGGGCCCTCGGTAAATATTTACTGGAGGGAAGCAGGGTAGGGTGGGGCTGATTCTTGCTCAGAGACTCAGAGGATGGGTGGCCGATGAACTCCAGATTGGCACTCAGGTTGGCCACCTCCATCCGCCAGCGTCCACGCAGCGACTCAGCCGCACATCGGGAGCGGGTGGCTTCGAGTCCGGGGGCAGCCCACCCGCCTCCAAAATGCCTTTCTGCCTGGGCTCGAGGTGAACGCCCTCGGTCTGCCCGCTCCCGACAGGACCGCGGCAAGGCGGTGGCTGCGAAAGGGCCGAGGACCGGGTGGGTGCGGGAGCAGAAGGCGGCCCCAGGCTGGGGGACACCGGAGGACTGTTGAGGACCTGGGTGGGCGGAGGAGGCCGAGGGAAACCCGCGTCCTGTGCTGACCTTTTTACCTCGAATCGCCTCTAGGCTTTCCAAACAAGCCAACAGCGCGCCCGCGGGGGTAAGCTATTGTCACCCGGCGGGTCCCACTGACAAACCTTTGGTCAGCGGAGGCGGGGCGGGGGACCGGGGCCCAGGGAGCTCCGCGGCGGCCAGCGAACCGCCTTCACTCGCTCGCCCCGCGTTGCCGTCGCGATGACCTGGGTTTTTGGGCTCCGCGCGGGATTTACTGACTCCAGTTGCCCCGGAAGTCCCAGCGCCCAGGAGGCAGCGGGGATCGGAGTCAGGAGTCTTATCCTCCGACCCCCTCCATCCTCATCTGTTTCATTCCTGACCTTTCAAAGGAAGAGAGGCAGCGAAAGAAACAGGCATACACCTAAGAAGCCCCGAACATTCGCTTCCCATTGAGGTCGGTGCCATTACAGGAGAGGCAACGTTCTTCCTAATGACACGGCCCAGCTGGAGAGGGAGGGGAGTGCGTGGCACGGGGAAGTCCGGCTTTTCCACTTGTCCTGTTCTCTGTCTTTTAAAAAAAGAATCTATCAACTGCTTTTCTGCATTTAATTGAAGTTGCTGCCAAGCTTGGCTTCCTCATTGGGGTCACCTTGAGAGAGGGGACAGAGATTTGGAAACAAGACCCTCCTTGCTTGGAGCTTTTCTGCCTGAGCGGGTTGTGCCTTTTGGTTGGGGTATTTGTGGGTCCTCCGCCCTTGGACCAATGGCCAAGAAAGCAGGAAAGAGGAGGAGGAAGGAGCAGTGGTTACAGCCAAAGCAGGCCACAAGGATGGTGAGGCCCAGTCTCGGAGAGGCTGACAGGTCCTGGGGGAGGGGTGATGGAGGGGCCAGGAGGAAGGAGGAAGGCTGGTCCATTTGATTTTTGGTCATAGCAGAAGGAAGCATCGGAATCCTCCAGGGAAGAATGAGGGGCAAATCAATCCTCGGTTAACACAGGGGTGGGGGCTGGGGGAGAGGCTCACAGTCATCGCCCCGAGTGGGTGTCTTCCGCCTCCTCACTGCACAGATCCCCATCCCTTCCCCACTCTTCACTCTCCTACTGCATCCCTGTCCTGAGGCCCCAGGCAGCTCTACACAGAAGGTATTTATTTGGAGAAAGAAAAGAGCTCTGTATTTTCCCACCATAAATGACAAAGGAGAGAATGATAAACAAACACACGTGGAAAGAAAAACACATTTTGCTCCTATTGAACTAAGCTGATGGTGTCTTCATTGTTAAACTTTCCAAAATAGATGTCAAACTGCTCCACTCAGGACTCCACCACAAGCCCTGGGTCGGGGTGAGGGATTGGGGGAGTAGGTATAGTACCAGGAGGATGAAAGTACATTTCTTTTTTCTTTGCAAAGTTTGAAAGCTTTCTACTCCCCACACCTCTGTTTTCCAGATCTCATAAAAGTAACTCCAGGTTTTAACTAAAATTTCGAAATTTAAAAATCTTGATTCTTCATGGGTCATGAGGAGCAACCCCCACCCCGCCCTGGGCCATCAGGTGTGTGTGTTGCGGGGGGGGGGGGAGGGTAGACTCCCCCACGACCGCCCG